TCCTGGCACCCACGTGGGAAGCAGGTGGATGGGAAGAGGGTGGAGGGGCAGGAGGGGACACGGCCCCGCTGAGCCTGGGGGTTACAGACCCACCATCTCCTGCATCTTCGACTGTGAGAGCCCAAAAAAGGGGGAAAAGGGAGAAGGGAAAAGCATTCCCGGCCTCTTTTTGTTGCCCACATGGGAAGCAGGTGGATGGGAAGAGGGTGGAGGGGAGGGATGGGACATGGGTTTGTCCGTGTGGGAATGTGGGAATGTGGGAATGTGACGGGCTCGGGGCTGGGGGGGATGAGCCAAGGGGGGTCTGGGAGGGTGGGAAACATTCCCTGGCTCATCCCTGAGGTGCTTCCCGTTCCTCTGGCAGATGGGAACAGGTACCACCTGCGCTGTTACCTGTACCAGGCCCGGGATCTGCTGCCCATGGACAAGGACAGCTTCTCTGGTGAGCCCCTCACAGCCCTCTGGAGCCTGGGGCTAGATCCAGCACGGGCTGGAAAACTCAACCAGGGACACCCAGGGACACCTTCCACCAGCCCAGGGGGCTCCAGCCTGACCTTGGACACTTCCAGGGATCCAGGGGCAGCCACAGCTTCTCTGGGAAATTCATTCCAGGGCCTCCTCACCCTCCCAGCCAGGAATTCCTTCCTAATATCCCATCTAAATCTCTGCTTTTGAAGCCATTCCCTGTGTCCTGTCCCCCCATCCCTTGTCCCCAGTCCCTCTCCAGCTCTCCTGGAGCCCCTTCAGGCCCTGCAAGGGGCTCTCAGCTCTCCCTGGAGCCTTCTCTTCTCCAGGGGAACCCCCCCAGCTCTCCCAGCCTGGCTCCAGAGCAGAGGGGCTCCAGAATCCTGGAATGGGTTGGATTGGAAGGGACCTTAAATCCCATCCAGTTCCATGGGCAGGGACATCTCCCACTATCCCAGGTTGCTCCAACCTGGCCTTTGGACATTTCCAGGGATCCAGGGGCAGCCACAGCTTCTCTGGGAAATTCATTCCCGCGCCTCCCTACCCTCCCAGCCAGGAATTCCTTCCCAATATCCCACCTAAATCTTCACTTTTCCAGTGGGAAGCCATTCCCTGTGTCCTGTCCCTCCATCCCTTGTCCCCAGTCCCTCTCCAGCTCTCCTGGAGCCCCTTCAGGCCCTGGAAAAGGCTGGAAGGTCTCCCTGGAACTTTAGAACAATCCCAACTCTCAGACTGAGCCTGGAAAAACCCCGATGGTTTCGGGTTGTCCTGGTGGGAACCTGCACAATTCCAGGGGGGAGCTCAGGTGGGAAGGGCTGGGCAGCTCCTCCTGCAGGACCTGGGAGAGCTCTGGGAGAGCTGGAGGGAGCTGGGAAGGGCAGAATTCCTGTTTGGAGAGCTGGAGGGAGAGCTGGGAAGGGCAGAATTCCTGTTTGGAGAGCTGGAGGGAGCTGGGAAGGGCAGGAATCTCCCAGGAGCTGTTTGGAGCCCTCCTGGGGGTGTCTGGTGGGTCCTGGTGGGGCAGGAGCTGCAATCCCTGTGTCCCATTCCCACAGATCAGGAGCTGCAATCCCTGTATCCCATTCCCACAGATCCCTGTATCCCATTCCCACAGA